ACACACACACACACACACACACACACACACACACACACACACACACAGAGCAGACAGGCAGAAGGCAGTGGGAAGGCTACAGTGGACATGGCTTGGCGAGCCATCAAGATGAGTAGGCTCCTGAAAGAGATCATCAGAAGGGAGAGGACAGGAATTGGATTTTAGGGAGAAATGATACAAGTTTATTTCTAGCTCTAAGGCACAGTAGAATCACCAGATCTTCAGTTGTTCTAATGTGGGTGGAAGTTGTTGTACAGAGGTCTCTGGCATGGAGGGAGCTGGGGCAACACCAGGGCCCCCAGGTGCCCATGCCCTTCCCCAGTCTTTCAGCTTCTGAAACAATGCTTACAGCCAGGCCCGGCTTCCCTAAGCTTCTCAGCCAGGGCGGGTCTCTCCTTGGGGTTCTATTGCAGATCCCGGCTTGCAGGCAGCTTGCCGAGCCCCCCTCTCCAGGCTTTACAGTTGTCCGTACACACCAGGCTCTGAGCTCGGGAGTGACTGGAGGGCTCCTCTGGGGCAGGTGGTTCTTTCCTGATGAGGTCTGGAAAAAGCTGAACCATCTCTCGGATGGGTCAGGTGGAGGAAAATTGATTCAAGCTGTCTCTAATACCTCCCGCTGCCTGCCAGCTCCCCTTCCTTCTCCTGACTCCTCTCTTCCTCCAGATGCCGTGTTTCTTTGAGGCTGGGGGGTGTCACCAAGAGAGGTTGCTTGCCTAGGACTTCTCATTCTGATCTCCTGGACAGCTGTACCAGGTCATACGCTGAATGTGAGTACCACGGAGCTGCTTCCACGTGCAATGTCTGGGTGCCTGGTGAGGAGAGAACTGTGTGGGAGTGGTTTCCCTAGATTCCAAGGAGCCGCCTGTCCCCATCACGGACAGTCAGGTAAAGGGCTTCCCTAACCAAGTCTAAACTTTAGACTCTAAAGGTTTAAAACACGTAAACTTGGCATGGTTTTTCAGAACACTAAAACAATAGCGAGTACATTTTTGTTTAGTCTCTCAACTAGGAAGCCTTAGGTAGCCGATGGTGGAGCCCTGAATTTTCAAAATACACCCCAAGGGAATGCAGCACTATGGGCGAAAAGCTGTACAATTAATCTTGCGGCTCTACTTTTCAGTGTTCATTTTCCTGAACTAGACAGAGCAGAGATGTGGTGTTGAATCTCCACCATGGCATTGCTTATTACATCACCATAACGAATCATTGCTACCACATGGCCAGCAATGAGGGCTTGGTTCGTTAACTAGTGCCTCCTCCAAATGATGTGGCCTTATGCAGTTATGAAAAGTAGATTGTGAAAGAACAATTAGATATTAGTGGGGGTGGCTAATATGGCTGGGTTTAAACAAAACTTGGAGAAACAGACTTCAATACCATGTTTTTAAAAAATGAAACCAAACCTATTTTCCTATATATACACAAATACAAGATAAAGAAATGTAAAGATTAATTTTAATGGATGGAGAGTTTTGTTTTGTGTAGTTTCTAATTTAAGTGGTTCGAGAAGCAAGCATGTCATTGCTTTGCTTTGGGGGGAAATGTAAAATATCAGAAAGAAGGGGTCTAGAGTCATGGTTCAGCAGGGCAGAGTGTTTGTTGATCTTCAGAGGACCCAAGTTCAGTTCCCAGCACCCACAGTGGGCAACTTGTCACCACCTATAACTCCAGCTCTGCAGAATCCAGTGCCCTCTCAGATCTCTATAGTCACCTGAGTGCATGTGCAAACACACATGCACACACACATACACACATGCACACATGCCGGTATGCACACAGGCATGAACCCATGAGAAATAGTGTTAGAGTCACAGCAAAAACAAGTTCTGAGCTCTGGTGGACCCACCTACCAATCCTAGCTTTCCTCGAGCTGGTCCTTAAAGGTAACTCTTCCCCTTCTCAATTTTCCCAGGTGAAAATGGGGAAAGGCAGTCCTTAACTCACAACATGGTTGTGAAGTAAATCGTTTTGCATGGCACAGAAAGGCAATGATGGCCATTATACGGTGGTCACTCTGGACTTGATGTACACAATCGGACCCTCCAGGAGCTTACACCCCGTGTGATAATTGGTGGCTTTTACCAGCCAGAGGCCAGGGAAAGAGGGACAAGAATTACAGCGAAAGAAATGGACAGGGGTCATGTTCAGTGTCACCGATCACATAGCCAGACTCTGATATTGGCAGATGATGGGGTTCCTGTGAGGGGTCTCCTGGCTAGGAGACATTTTTAAAGACATGCACAATTGAGTCCCCTGAGTTACATATGGATCAGTTTCTCCCCCCACCTCCCCCAAAAACCTGGCTTGTTGTAGGAGGCCCTGTCTGGTCCCCAGAGGGCAGAGGGTGGGAACCTTAGTCCCTGTGCATCATCCTAGGGTGAGTCCTTAGACCAAGGGAATCCATTTTATATTTTTTATAAACCCTGGCTCAGGTACTGCGGATAGGTAAACAGCAGGAGCTGCCTGGCCAAGCCTGGGACTTCTGGGGAAAGACTCAAACATCTCATTTGTGGGTGAAGTTGTTCTTAGACTTTCCGAGAATTCCCAGAAGAGAAATTCAAATCTGAGGAAACGTGTCCTGGTTAATCATACGAATAGACAAGCAGACAAACACACAAAGGAAAGATTGAGGAGTAGGTCTGAGCTATCCCAGGGAATGCTAGAGAGGCAGTTAATTTAATACACTACAGAAAGACACCTTCTTGAGTGAGAACACTCACGTGCTCTGAGCCCCACGTGCCAGACAAGTGACAAGACAATAGAGCGTTACAAACGCAGTCTTTGGGATTGGTTCCGGCTTTGCCATTTGGTAGTTGCGTGATCTGGGCCAAGTTTCCTAATCTTACAAGGCCTCACTTTGTTTATCTGTAACATGGAGACAACAAATGGTATCCTCCTCAAGGCAAGTGAAGGAAAAGATTATGCGATTCACGTAAAGCACAGTGCCTGGAAGCGGTCAAAAGGGCAGACAGTGAGAATGAATGACAGTGGCTGGTTCTGCAGGCCAGGCAATGACAAGGGAGGTGGCTCTGGGCAGAGGGCCCAGCATTGTGTCTTCCTCTGTTTACTTTGGCCATTTGGGAGCAATGCCCCTGGCAGGAGAGAGGAAGGGTATGGCACTCTTTCTGGTGTGTGTTCCCAGCATTCCACTGTTGTCTTGACTGGTCCAGAGACCTGGGGTATCTCGTGCTCTGCAGAGAGGGCCAACTCACAGACACCGGACTAGACTAGCTGACCAGCTGCAGACACAGCTGGCCTTGACTTTGAGAGGTAGATGGTCATCTTGCATCTTTAGAGACCTAATGTCAATTCAGCTACCAAGAGGACGGGCCCCTCTACTATGAATTTTCACAAACAATGGTTCACTTGGCTCTGCAGACCACATTGTAGAATGAGGATTTGGTTTTCTTGCTCGGAGCTGGGGACAAAGGGCTCAGGGCAGGTGGATAACCACGGAGGAAACAGGTAAGAACGTCTTGGCTGCCGGCCGTGTGCTGGGACTGAAGCAGATCAACTGCCGCACACCCAGGGAGAAGAGAAGCCAGACCCTGGCGCTGGGTTTGGAGTTTCACTCTTCCTTGGATCCCTGAGATACTATGATACCTCAAGATAGCAGATTAATGGTTCTGGGTCTCAATTTCTTCTTTTGTAAAGGAAAAAAAAATCCAACTACCTCTGAGTGTTTCTTCAAGTGGGCTTGCAGACATTGTAAGACCCGGTTCTCATCTGGGATGCAGGGACTCCAGGGAGTGGGAGATGCTGAGGTCCTACCAGCTGTGGTTATAGTAGCAGAGGTTCATGGACCTTACCTGACCTGTGCCTTTGCCCTTGATGGGGGTTCACTCCGTGGACTTGTTCTCCTTTCTACACATAAAGAGCAATCTGTCCCCAGGTTTTGAGGAGGTTCTTGATGTAGAAATGGGTTGTGGTGGGGAGTCAGGGCAGGGACTAGTTTAAAAATCTTTCACTATAGTTTTCTCATCCGCAAGATGAGGGTGAGAGTCTCGGTGTTGCATCCCTACTCTCCACAAATGGCTTCCCATAAGGACAACCAGCTCCTACCTGGTTCTCTTACTCTGCCTAGCCAGAAACATTCACAAGAGTATGTCCTGAGATATTTGGGGAGTTGACACAGGGAGAGATTGGTAGAAGTCTTCTAGCTGGGATGTTCCCCAAGCTGGGGGTGCTGTCCATACTTTTTGCGGCTACTGTGCTTAGGAAGAAAAAACATAGGTCAATACTGCCCTCTGGCGGTCTTTTCTTTAAAAGCAGGACAGAGAGAGGTGCTTGAATACAAGT